AACAGATGCAACTGGCTGATATATGTGTGTATTGTGTATACACATTTTACGTGTGTTTGATCTAATAACAGAAGAAAAACACAACGGCTAAAAACTATGGTTTTCGTCAGTCAGCCGACAGGGCTGCAACTGCACTCCGTTTGCTGTTGTTGTTGTTGCTGCTGCTGCTGCTGCGATCGAATGCACAGCCGTAATTGAATGGTGTGAGAAGGATTTCGAGTGTTGTATTTATGGTCGACTTTTTATTCTCCCTCGATCTTAAAACGCACTGTGTGTCTTATTCTCTTCCATTCTCTTACGTTTGTTATCGTTTACTCTCGCCAGTTCTCTATTCACTCTGTTCTATTTCACTCGTCAATATTCTCTCTCTCTCCTTGCTCTTTTTCTATTCTCCATTTCTTGCTCGTGTCCCTTTGCTCATGTATATGTATATCGGTTCGATAGGCAAACATGATCATCATCGCTGTTGTCGATACAATGTCATGAATAGAGAGAGGCCGATAGTTTTCGAGTGAAGAAAATGCTTGTTGAAAGAAGGGCTGCATTTATTTTCGGCAGCCGCTCTTTGAATTAAAGTTGAGCTAAACGAATGAGATGAGATTTTCGGCCTGGATTGATTTGAAAGTGTATTGTCTGGCGCAGCAGCGGTAATAGCGATATGTATGGATTTAGATCGATTAAAAGAGCTGACATGTAAAAGTCCATTGTCGAATCGGTTTCGATATATCACTTATAGTCTCGGCGCTCTCACCCCAATCAAATCGAAACAAATGAGAGCAAAGCCGAAATGTGTGTGTGTGTGTGTGTGTGTGTGTGTGTACCGCGCTAACAACAAACAAGAACAGCAGTAATAAAAATAAGGAAGATTTTCGACTTAGTTCTGTTATGTGTACTGTTTTGTTCGCCCCTCACGCTTGTCTTTCCAAATCGACCGTCCGACCGACCGTCATTTTTGTAGCCAGTTGTGCGTCGAACACATACACGCCATCCCAAGCCATTTTCCAACAAACGATTTTCTGACGAACTACATCAAAAATTATGTTGCCGCTCAGTCATTTCAATTTTCGGGCATTGTGGACATGGATGTGTGCACAGAAGAGAAGAAAATAAAAAGTAACCATCGTAGAGTTGGTCACCGCACCGTATCCACACAAAGCATATCGTACAACATAACATTATACTGTAACGATTACACATTGGAGTGAGACGATTATGCAATACGGGTCTACATTGAATAATCTAAATTACCGTATAAGAACACAAAAAAAAACTACACATTCTTTTCGGTTTTGCGGGAAAAATGTTCGTTCGCTCGCATTTTGTTGTTGGCCAACAATTCACCGAAAAAAAAAAACGAATTTCATCTTTTGCTGCGGTTTTTTTCCATCTTCGGTGTTGTAGTTGTTATAAATAATAATTTTGATTCATGTGCTCTCTCTCTCACTCTTTCTCTCGTTCACTCTGTGTAAAGCGCTACGGAATTAGTCACATTGCATTTTGCAGCAAAATTCCAAGTTTTGAACAACTTTCAAATATTTTGCTTAAAAGTGCATCTGCATTCTGAGAGACGAACGTCTTGCAATAGTCATGCAACGATGAGGAGAAGAAGCACAAAAAACACGCACTACAACGACCTATGCTGTTGCACAAAAGAGAGTGCAACAGAATGTCGAGGGAAACAGATAGCAGACAAAAAGAGAACGAAGAGAAAAGTGAACAATGTCCGAGAAAAGACAGACGAAAAAGCAGCAATAGCAACAAGAGAGCGAAACAAATGAAAAGAACGTTACAGACTCGTTGAGAAAGATAAAGCGTATTCGAAGAAGTGAAAAATATTAAAACGATCACAAGAAACACTCGACAGTGAAACAGATAGAGAGAGAGAGAGAGAGAGAGAGAGAGAACAAAACTCGTTAAAACGAAACATGAAGATTGAGGAACCACTGCTAAAAAATCTATTCATCACGTTTTGTGCTGTAGTTAGTTTTTTTTTGTTAGTTATTTTCTTCTCTTTATTACGTGTATACCAATCTCTGGCAGCACTGAGTCTCTCTAACATGTTCCATACTCTCGGTTTGTAAGTGTCTGTCTAACACATGAAATCGATGTGTGTACAGTGTACACTGTTACACTGGCGCATGTATTGTTTTACAATGACAGTATATAGAATCAGTGCTTAAAACAATAGTAGAAAAGAGAAGACGAAACCAGAAAAACAAAAACAACAACATCGACTAAAAATACGCTATAAAATTGAGGATTTCAAACGAAACCAGAAAAATTAAAAAATAATATTCCATTCGGAATATGTATAAAATTGTCCCTGATTCCAATCTCTAATCCGTTTTATGGAAATTAACTAATTTGACGCACACACGAAAAAAGTTATTCCACCGAAATTCCAATGACCCAAAAGTTTTTTTTTTCTCTTACGTTTCGTTCTGCTGCTGGTTTTTGCCGTGACTGGAGCATGTGTGTCGCAGGCACATACATGCATACGAGAACCCATTAAAAATGGTTACGTTGAATTTGCACAAATTTCGAAGACGATGGACGTTGGACCACGAACGACAACGAAAAAAATATACAAAGCAAGAAAAGAGTCGTCATATGTTTTCATCGGCATTTTAAAGTCATTCTTGAGCTTGGATCTTAAGCCGAAAACCCATCAAAACAACATAAATTCTGATTTTATCGGATTACATTTGCTCGTTCGCGTGCAATTTTCTATTTTGTCGAATTCGTTCAAATCTGTTGCTCAGTAGTGCTGCCGCTGCCGCCGCCGCTGCCACCGTCATCGTCATCGTCATCATCGCCGCCACTGCGCTATTCCGTTGTAAGGTTCATTCGCTTGCATCGACAAAGCTGATTTTCTTGTTTCAATTTATAGAGAATCCGAACCGAGAGATCGATTTGTATGGGTGGTTATGCTCGATGCTACTTTCATATATGCACATTTTGTATGCTTAACTTGCAAACATTTTTCGCTCGCTCTCTGTCTCTGTCTTGCCACAATTTCTCGCGAGCTGTATGACGGTGTGCGATCGTCGTGCGAATATGTTGCCGCACTTCGCTCTCCTTCTCTCTCTCTCTCTGTGCAACGTTTTGTTCATTGTTTCATTCATTGGTCGATGTTGTTACTGTTACTGTTGCTGTTGCCAGCGTCATCGTTGATTATTGTGTTGTTATTATATGCTTAAAACACATTTTTATAATAAATATCTGTGTTCGAGCCTGACTGACTGGCTGGATTGCTTGCTTGCCTGACTGGTTGTATGTGTTCTTTTTGCAGTTCTTTTGCTCGTTTTACATGTCTCTTTCTCTCGTTCGCCTCCATCTTCGTTTTTTTTTCTCCTCTCGTACCGTTCACGTTTGGCCGCTTCGTCATCCATCCAAATTGGAACCGAGAAGATGAGCGAGAAAAAACACACACTGAAAATGTACATAGCATTTTTCTCAACTCATAACTCAACATTTCTTTTCTCTCTTTTTCTCTCTTTCTCTCGTTTTTCTCTCTCTTTCCAACGTTTCTCTCTCTCTCTCTCTTGCTTCATTCGTATGTTTCAGATTTTGCTGACTTGCACGCGTATTTTATTGCTCGCGGTTGTTGAATAATAATTCCTGATGTTTTTCGATTTAATTTTAATGTTACTTCTTGCGATTTTAAAATCGTATTGTTGTTACATATAAATTCTTTGTGTGTGCGCGGCGCGATGATTGACTTTTTGATTTCGACTGATGGTGATGGCGGCGGTGGCAGTGGTGTTAGTGGTGGTGTTCGCTTACTCGTCAATTTCTTTGCTTGCTCTTTTAATATGCTCTTTTGTATTCATATAGATCACTAATTTCTTTTAAACTTGCCATTTATTCCACAACAATAACAACCGTTTTGCACATACAAATATGGCATTTTATCGCGTTATACGCCACTCTCTCCCGATTGGGAATTTCACCTTTTAGCGAGAACATGTTTATTACTCTCTTTAATTTTTGCTCTTTCTCTCTCAGCTCCTTACTCATCGTCCTCTCTCCATCACATCAATCCATCAGTCAATTGCTCAATCACGCTCTTTCTCGCTTTAAATGCCAATTATTCGTGTGTATTTTTGCTCGAAACAAAGAAAAAAACCACACATACACACACACACATTCACAGAACTGTCTTATATTTATCTGGGCGAATGAATCACATTTATTAATCAAATTCGCAGAATGACGATTTCTCCCAAAGAAAAAGAAGAAAACAACAAAATTTAAATGCGAACAGTGAAAATCGAAATGTCAGCATCTAGCCAAAGCGGCGGGGCGATTATATTCGGCTTGCTTTTTTTATTGATATTTTCGATTGTCAGCGCATAGGAATATTTTCAGGCTCCACTTGATCCAATCAAACATTGATTTGTTATACAAACAAATTCGTTTGAAATGAAACAATTGTACATGAAATTTGAGTCGAAACAAATCTGCTCTAATTGACGTTTTTTTTTTGGAAATGGCAAACAACACACAATCCATAATGTCCAAGCGCCGCTGGCTATACATTTACAGTACCCGCATTCAAATACACTCACACATAGTGTGGCGATTTTCAGCGAATAAAAGAAAATTAAATACAAACACACGCACCGAGAAACACATTGAAATATGACGAGGAAGGAAGAAAAATGGTTATGCTTTGTATGCGCTGACCTTTGTGTTACGATTTTGACAAGAACATCGTGGCCGATTTGAGAGCTTGACGAACAACAGACAAAACGTACACGTAATTGAATGAGACAAAATTATGTTTCATTATCCGATAGCGATGAATGAGAATGATTCTTAAATAGTGTTTACTTTAACTGACGCCCCATCGACGAACCCAATTTCAACGGATATATTTATCGACTTCGTTTTACGAGTCGCATTTTCTGTTTTTTTTTTTTTTGTACATCTTTTTTATTCTTCGTTCGTTTGCTAATCCATTTATTCTCATCTTTTTTTTCTTCTTTTTTTTACAGCTAGTGAACAAATAAACGCGACGAGAGAGAAAGAAGAAAAATACAGTGAATAAACAATCGATGAAAAGAATATAATAAACCTAATTGAAAGGAATTTAAAAGAGAAAAAAAGCGAACAAAAAATTGTTCGACTGATAATTTGAATTGTTCGACGTCGAAGAGTGAAAATTGCGGGTAGCGAAACTCACATTTCAGAAGAATTTTACCTATCTAGTGAATTAAAAAGAAAGAAAGCGACAACAACAAAAAGAGAATACAAAGAATCGGTCGATAAACAACAGCGCGCCAGCACAGTGTTTGCAAGTGGCTGATTAAAGCTGAAAAGTTTTGTTTGTTCCAACATCTGCAACAGCAACAGCGATAATAAGTGCCATTGTTTCTCTTCTCGCATCCCGCTTCCCCCATCGTTGTGTGTGTGTGTGCTGCCGTGCGCTCGTGTAGTTTACAGTGTGTGTTTTTCTTTTCGGGGTACGCGTCGAATGATTGTGAGTTAGCGAGTGTGTATGTTGTGCTTTCCATCTCGCTAAACGACCATACCCACGGAAGAAAAACAACAAACAAACAAATCACATCCTCGCTGAAAAGAACTCAACACATGCTGCTAATGACAATGCTGTCGTTCGATTACTAAACCATAATTTATGTATAGCCGCACAGTTATGCACTAAATTTAAGACAGGTAAGTTCCATTTCTCACGTACCATTTAAAATGCAGTTTTTGTTTGTTAGCACTACATGAAATGTAGAGCTACTAATCTGCTTCTTTTTTTTCCTAGATACTTTTTGAGTGTTGAAACAAATGATGGTGAATTTGAATTTTATGCTCATATTTTTTATTCAATTTGAAACAGTGGCAGTCACGACAAATAAGTGCATAATATCTCAAAGTGCCAATCAAATTTTTATTATCAAATGTTGTTTAAAAATTACATTAATTTTTCCTATTGCATTTTCTGAGTCAGACAGAATGAATTGAATGATTTTAGATTCTATGCTCATATTATTTATTTAATTTAAACCAAAGGCAGTATATTTCAAAAAAGAAATTAAAAACCAAGATCTTGTAATTCATTTTGCAAATAAATATATTACTTCAAAGTTACTTTGATGAAATACATTTCGTGTAGTGCGCCAATAAAATAGTTTGTTGTGAAACAACAAAATAGATTAAGTAACTTAAAACTCAAGAACGCAGAGCGGAGCGAAGCAGAGCTTTGCGGTCTTGTTTTTTTTTTCTCTCGCTCTCTTCCCGACTTAATTCCTGTGTGCGTGTGTGCATGTTCGCCCATTTCTGTATACATAAACGCCAGCAACATAAAACGTTGGTCGCAATGTGCTAACGGTCACCGGCCGCTTCATTCATCTTTCTCTCGAATGCATTTATTTGCGAGAAACGAGTTTACCCGGTGACAAAAACCGATTCACTAAGAACCCAACCGAACCAATGCAAAATATATGGAAATTAATGCATGTGATTTGGATTGGCCTGAGGGGGTTTTAGTTAATGGTGAGAAAAATGTCAGAGAAAATATAAATGGAGATGCAGAGAAATTAGAATTTTTGTGGGAAATTTTGAGGAATTTTCAGACGATTTCAAGGTGTTTTGAAGAATATTTGATGCAAATTGGCTCGTGAAATAAAATGTGTTAAATTTTCATTAGTCAAAACACCGATGAATGGCTGAATTTTTAAACAAAATTACCTTAGAGAATTTCACACATTCGAGTATTAACCGCAAATTTAGTGGGATAACTGCTAATATTTGCAATTTATTCATTTATCTTACAATTAATATTTTCAACAAGTTTTTCAAACTTCATAATGAAAACATCAATTTTCTCCCCATTCAAAAAAAAAGATCTATTCGATTGTATCTCCTGCACAAAGTAAAACTATTTCAATTTAAATCTCATCAATTCCTGAGTTTCATTCTCGTTGCACTGTGAGTTTGTTTGAATGGAAATATGTGAATAGACGGGAGTGATTCGCATTTATCCGATTTGACCCCCAACCGAAAAGTTAGTGTTCTTCGCTTGTTAGAATGCAAAAGTGAGCAGAAGCATCAAAAGGATTGACCTTAGCACTGTTTTTGTTGCCGTTGCTGTCCATATATATATATGTGTGTGTGTGTGTATGTTGTGTATTGACATAAAATTAAGTTGTGTGAATTTTCTCGAAAACGACATCATGTTTATGCTGCTGTTAACGGTTGCTGATCATCAATTTATGCACATTTGCCAGCTCCATTAACTCGACCGCATAAATGAAATGAGTTGATAGGGAATAAAAGCACAGAGAGAGAGAGAGACAGACATAGAATATAACATATATATCTGTATATAGAGTTGTTTTGGTGGTGGACGTTGAACGAGTGACTGAACAAATGCTTTGTATGCTTTTCGCATTTAACATTATTTTGCTCTTAAAAACTCAAGCTAATCAATCAAATGGATGAGAATATGCGGAAGAGCGGCACTGAATTTGCACAAAATGCTATTAACAGTGCTGAATTTGCAGAGAGTGAATAACAAGAGAAAAAAAAAACCGAACGAAACTAGCTAAATAGAATCAGTGAGTCCAAAAGCGAAGAGAATAGAAGGAGAGCGAAAAAAAAAACGCAGAACCAGACCGAATTGAGTTGAGTTTTAAACAAATTTTCAGACAGAAAGGAAGTGACCATTTCGGAAAAATGCTCGGCACAAAATGCAAATCAAAGCGGTAGCAACGGCACAACACTGTGCATAAAAGTTATTATTCAACCTCGTCGTCGCAATTAAAACACTCAAATTGTGTTGTGTGTTCGAAAGTCAGACCACCGACTGGAACAAATAAAAAAAAAAACTATACAAACATCTCGCTGCTGCTCGACAGATGTGCGGGTTGCCGAAAAATGAACGAGAGCAGCGCGGCACAATCAGCCAAACAAAGAATGGAGAGAAAAAAAATTGTATAAAGCGTAAACACGAAGCCCCGGCCATGGATTATGAACATTTTCATCAAAATTAGCAACTAAACAATTGAGCAAATCTGTGAATAATTTTCACTAAACCGTCCTTTTCGTGCGGTTTTCAGAAATTGAGACCAAGAGATGTTCTGCTGGGGCTCAACGGGTTTTGATGTGTGAGCTGGCTAAAAGAGTGAACGTATTTTTAAATGCGAACGAGACATGGCATTTTGTTAAGCAGCTCGAGCCTAGCTTCGAATAGCACAATGGGTGTGCGTCGAATTCAAGAATTGTGTGCCTGATTGTGTGTTTCAGATAATAACACAATCATTTTCACGAAAATGAAATGCCAGAGCGAGAGAGAGAAAGAACCGCATTGAAATTTGATTGTTTGTGTTTACATTTGCCATTTCCATGATTGAAAATAGATCTCTTTCGAATTCTCTCCCCTTGTGAATGCGCGCCCGTCAACCGACACAACTATAAAACGGCGAAACAATGCCCGATGTTCCAAGGCATTTAATATGAAAATGTGTGTGTGTTTGTGATTGAATAAAAATATTTCGCATTTATTTATGTTTCGGCAATGAAAAATGTTGTACCGCTAGTTTTCAAGCATCGCTTTGGCACACATGGCCACAAACATGTATATAAAATGAAGCATAAATGGCATACGGTTCTTTGGCCCATAGGGCAAATCCAATGAATTCAATGATCTTATATATTAATAGTGGAACGCGCCCACGTTTCTCTCATATTCAAAGTCAAAAACTTAGTCTATCGCTCTTTCGTGCTCTCTCTCTCTCTCTCTCTCTCTCTGTGTGTGTGTGCCTATATCGCATCCATATGCATATTATTACAGCACATAAACGCTCATTTGATCGGCGTTTGGGTCGTTTATTCACTTGTAACTTCGGCGAAACGAGCAAAGAAAGAGATTTTGACTTTATTACTTTACAAAACTGATAAACTTAGGCATCGATTTCATTTCAGACTCTCGCTCTCTGCACTCAGTCGGTGCTGTGCTGCACATATTGTTTAACCTTTTTTTTCTTAGTTTTGTTGCTTCATTCTCATTCTGAAAATTGGTCCATATCTCTGTCGGGTTAGAAAAGGCGTTACTTGATTCGATGTGGTTTCTGGTTTCTAAGCCTCTTCATGTTGGAAATAGTTTACTTTTGCGTCAGCTCTTCATCGAGACACTCATGGCAAATGCAGGAATTTAAATCGAAATTACATGAAATGCACGCTTTATTTCACGATGCGCGTCCGCGTTCGCCCATTGGAAAATTTATTTATATATATGTTGTTCGAAACGAAATGGTACGAACGATGGAGCGAAATGATGACGATTCTAATGATTATAATATGATGTTTAGTTTATATATGCTGATTGTTTAAAATGTTTTCCTCGGCATTTGTGGGCTATGATTGAATAGACATATCCTGTTATTTCTCATGCTTAATGTGCGGCACTGTCTCTTGCTTCGGCGTTGTTCGTTTGTTGTTTGCCAGCCCGTTTGCTTGTGTGTTCCATTGTTGTCGCCCGAGCGTGCAACAGAGAGACACTCATGCACACAAGTAGCTTTCCGATGCCTTTGTCATTTGCCTTTGCCTCGCCACCAGTATCTTCATTGAGACAGATACACAACAATTTCTAATGGGTTTTAAAGCGTTGATATTACCGATGCCGCATGTTTTGCGTTTTCTTCCTGGTGTATCTCTTTTTTGGTTCACAAAGTATCTCTCACTCGCTTGCTCATTCTGCCTCTTACTCTAGGCTTATGCATCTCTTTCACTATCTTTTCCAATTGCCATGCCATGATTGCCCAAACCCCATTCACAAACATTCTGTGCTGTTTGGTTTAGAATGTGTGTTTGTACGCGGCGTTCTCGTTCCTTGTCGATTGTCGTACAAACGTACCCAGAACATCATCACTCTCATCTCTACACAGCATTATTTGCCCGAATGAATCAAGAGCCGACATCATTTCGACTCGATATCTCCATTTTGCCTAGATTTTCTGCATAATATGTTTGATTACTATCATTATATGCTATTATTGTTATTATTATGCACGTTATCTAAACACTCTGCACTCCACTTTCCATACATCTATCATCCACATTTGAAGTTCCGCAGAGTGAACGGGTATGTGCGCGCGAGCGCATTTACACACTGAACAAAATATGAATATGAACATTTATATTTTGCGAATAAACATTTGCAGATTTTTTTTGGAGGTTGCTGTTTTTTCCCCCTTGATTTGTGTAAAGTGTGTACCTCCTTGTTCGTTTGCTGTACTCGGTTCTGATTCTGACTTTGAGCTCCGGCGGCTTGTGCTACGTGCATTGAGGCTAAAATCAAATCGACGCACAAACTTGACAAAATGAGAAGTTAAAGTCATCCATAATGCCGTTACTTTCCAACTGTATCTCTCGTTCACCCGGCATTCTTCGTGTGTTTTTCTCTTTTTTTCTCATTTTCTCTCGAGCGAGAAAGAACTTTCAAACGCGCACGGTCCCTCGATTTATGTATGTGCTAGCAATGATTGTGAATTTGTGTGTGTGTGTGTGTGTGTGTGTGCGTTTTTTTCGGGTCACATTGACATTATTTTGTAAAACAGGCAAAATATAAATATGATATGATGATACGAATGACTTTTGGGAATTAAAATAGATAAGAAAATTGTTTTCTTCAATTTTTCTTCGGCGCTTTTCTTTGCCACGCGCGC